TTTTATAACCAACAACTGTACTATTTCTTATGTGCTTATTGAATAAAATTTTATTCATAATTCATTTTATTGCAGCAAATCTTCCCCGTCAGGATTATCAATTCGAAATCACGAGGACTGCACTATATTCCAATACCTTAGTGGCATTACCTACTGGGCTTGGAAAAACATTCATCGCTGCCGTTGTAATGTATAATTATTTTAAGTGGTTTCCAGAAGGTACTGCATCACTTTTTAGCATTGTTTGTCATTGCATGTGATTAAGTGTTCTTGATGGTATTTTTTTTTCTTTCTGGAAAATGGCATAAAGAAATAAGTTCAAGTGAGCTGCTTGGAACTATATCAATATGCTTATGGCAATCCTATCTAAACACTGCAAAAGCTGAATATAGATAAGATCTCATTACTCTCAGTAAGGTCCAACTAAGCTGAAAATAATGTTGTCTTGATAAGGTCTTAATTTCTTGTAATGAATTATATACATATTTACTGAAGTAGAGTTATTTATTGGAGCAAATGTTCCTTATTTTGTCAATATAGATGAGCTGTTTATGCAGGAAGTTATGGGCATCACATACAAATTCAGAGTTTCTAACATTTGCATGGCTTTGGATTCAAACCTACATGTACCTTACACACTGACTTCATTAGTTTGCATGAATTGTGAAAGGCTTTTTTTTTTTTGAAATTTATGTTTTTATTCTAGCAGGAACAAGTGTAACATCATAACCCTCTTTAACCTCTTAGTTGTGTGCTTTTGACTTTGTTGGTTGATGAAAAAGCTTAAGCATACCAAAAATATATTTACTTTGTATATGTGACATCATGGCAGGAAAAATAGTGTTTGCAGCTCCTTCTAAGCCCCTAGTTTTGCAACAGATTGAAGCATGCCATAACATTGTAGATATACCGCAGGTGAGGCTTTCTTGCCCTCTTTTTTTGTGACTGACTGTACCTTTGTGTTTCTAGTTTATAGTTTGTGATTCTAATTATGTTGGGGCCTGGGGGTCAAGATGTGCGCAATGATACACCTAGTTTAAGTATATGTGCTTCAATCATATACTCCCTAGTACATAGGCTTGTTTGGGAACAATGTTTTAGATTAGCGTTAATGTTTTGAATAGTTTTTTACTGGTGCATATTAACTTTGGAAATACTAAAGTTAAACACTACCGTTAGATAGTCTTTTCTAAATGTTAAAGCTAAACGGCGAAGTTGTTGCCAAATGGATCCATAGTATCCCGTTAGTATTTTATGCTATAACGCCTTTTCTTTTATTGAATTGCTACAGTTTGACATTTGCGGTTTGCCTAAAATATACGAGCATCGTTGTTTTTTTCAATCTGATCCTCTCTTCTGTTTCATCTGTATATATCGTATAGTCACAGAATTTGCTCCCTAGGCCGTGACTTCCGTACTGGTATGAGACATACCCAATCGCAATTCGATTGCGATCCAATCGTAGCCGGTACGGCGTACCCATGGTAGTCAAAATCACGATCTGATCTGTACGCTTCTGCAGATCAACCTAGGGTTACCAATTCAAATCGCGTGCTAGATCGGAAATCCTTCAGTCGATCGCCGAGCAAGATCGTACTACTATCGCCTGGTATCGGCAATTCAATGGGAACGAAAGTCACATGTCGGAAAAGCAATTGGCGCTACCCTTTGGTTGCCTCGACTCCCCAAACGATGCTTGTTTCCACTGCGTTTTATGTAAATAAGCCTCTGCGCTGATTTAATCTGGTTCTTTGGGTTTCAAGTTTCAGTTTAGCATGTGGAGTCACACCATGTATTCTGTCTTATTCTGCCCAGCTCTTAAGTTTTTTTGTTGTTTTATTTCTTGAGCCCTTTATCTACTAACCTTTTTTTATTGTTATCTATTGATATTAAGAAATTTTGTTTACTAAAGTTTTGACTTTTGTTACACCGAACCGAATACTTGGTACACCGTTCCGCTTCGTACCAAAATGAACTTACCCACTTCGTACCGAATTCGTCACCTCTAGCAAATTTCGTACCCATACCGGAACGTATCGCGATTTAGGTGACTATGTCACTACTATATATTCAAGTAATATTGCACTAATGGATTATTAGTGTTATCCCATTCTCACATATGTAAATTAGGGAGGAAAAATATATTGATGCTACCTGGCAATGGACTACTTTTTGTCTTTGTTGTTGGCTCTCCTTTTGCACTTTGATTGACTAAAATCCAGTCCCTGGCTAATTACCTTTATAAACTCTTCAATAGACTAATAAGTCTATTTGGAATACAAGCACATGATACATAACTTTTCAAAATTAAAACTGGAGAAGCCTTGTACCTAAATTTTAAAATATTACTATTGTTATTTTCAATTCTGTGTTTTGTTTTGTATTTAGAAGAGTAGTATTTAGTTGTCTACAGAGACTGAGAAGGATAGCCATGAAAGCAGATTTTAAAAAGATTTCTGGATACGCAAGTACTCTGTAAGTGATATTGTAAAACCGTGAAACTCCAAAGTTTCCATTGCAATGTGTATTGCGATAGATTTTTCAAAGACTGATGGTTCAAGGGCTTTCTGGGACTAAACTTTGCAATGGGACATATCATGTCATACGCAAAGTAGTGAAGGACCAAGGTGTGCAGGAATGTAGAGAAGTTTTTTATCAACGACTACCAGTCCCCTGCTTCCCCACTGATTGGGTGGTTATGCTGCTTCACAACATCTCAACTGGAGGTACGTGCATGGTCACTGTATTCTTTGATCAATTACTACACTATTCTACGAGATCTATTATTTAACAGTGACGACTCGACCACAAAAATTTAATGCTAATAGACTATATAGTAGAGCTTCTTTTTTTTTTCCTTTCCATCATCTCCGATGGAGCTAAAGATTCATTATTTTTTGGCTTTGGGGTATGATGGAATAAATCAAGATGACTTTTTAAACTTTCCTCGCTTCTTTTATGGTGAACTAACAGTCAGTCAATGCAACTTTCGACGCTCATCATGGGTCATCTGAAACATAAACATAACATAGGGGTCAGGTTGTATACATCTGACCCCCCTTACCCTGCAGGCGGAAGCCTTTTTTGCACTAGGGTAATGTTGTTGTAGAGTAAAGATTTTATCCCCTTAAATTCAAATTATTTGGAGAACATCAAGGTATACAACATTTCTGGTAAAGTTGCAAATGATACCACTAACAACAACCCAGTTGAATCTCCATGAGAGTAGGGTGTGGGGCGTGTGTACGCAGACCTTACCCCTACTCGTTAGTAGGGAGACTGTTTTCAAGAGACCCCCGGCTCAAAAGTAATGATTCCACTGTCATCTAAAATTCATACTTCTAATCTTAACTTTGATATTACTTACAAACGATCATATATTTCTCCTCTCCTCGGAAGGATCTAAACGCATTTAGGTATTTGTCTATGGAATCTGTCTCCAAGCTCAGAAATCAGCATGCAACTTATAACTTTGTGACACTTTAGTCAAGCAACGAAGATGCATTTGACACAAAGAATTGAGAATCTAGATGGGGAACTGGATGACCACTGACCAGATTGAGATGTCAAAAGAAACTAGAAATGAGGTAAATTCACCAACAAATTCTTGTTTTTAAATTCTAAATTCTCACAGGAATTACTCAACCTCATCTCTGTGTTCGATTGTGGAGCAGGTTAGTGATGCACGTGGTGCTATTTCTAAAATCGATAATGACTTTGATGCAATACAGATGATGTTGTCTGACCAAGTCAATATATATTTTGTTTTGTTTTATTAGTATCATGTAAAATTCCTCAAGTCAAGCAGGTGAACTAATTTTTTAAAATTCTATGAAACAAATTACAATAACAAGTATTAAAGATATGTTTAGAACATGAAAAATTAAGTTAACCTTTTAAATATACTGGAAATTTGAAAACCAAAAGAGTGGAAGGAAAAAAACTTAAGTTTTATAGTATATTTTTTTCAAACTTTGTATTTACTCCATTTGGCCCATATTAGTCCTTTTCTTCTTTAGGTTAATAAAAATATGTGGTTTATATTCTTTTATCCCCTTCATAATTCTCAACAATTTTTTTTCTTGAACTTCATGACAATTGACAAGTCAAACCCATAACATGAAATGTGAAGGGAGAGAGTATTTTCTTATTTGTATTACATATTGAACAAAAATCTAAACACATGTCAACTTTTTAAAACATTAATTATTTCTCATTACCATTGGCATTTGCCAAGGTAATAGATCCAAACTAGAGAAAATATATTAGCGATTTCCAAGCATTGTCTAATACCCAAACACTTGGTGATTTTATGCAATCCTTATTTTACGCTTGGAGTTGTTTGGTCAGCTATTAATGGTGGTATTTTGATGTGTATACCTAACCATCCCATTTACAATTTATTGTGGCAATATGAGCTTGCAAATGTAGGTGTTATGTTTATGAGGTAAGGTCAGTGAATGTTGAGTGAAAATGGACAAAAAAATCCAGGTGTGTATAAATGAATTAAAACTACACATTTTCTATTACTCTCTCTCTCTCTCTCCACATAGGGTTGCTACTTGCTCTTGCATTACAATTTGCTGCTGCAAGTCAATGTGTTGTGCCTCTGTTTGCAAAAGCAGCTCGGAGTTGGTGGTAAGTCAGCAGGAGCTATCATATTAAGTTTTCTAGTCAAACTATTGTTCACGATGTTAAATGTGATAGTGATATTAAGAGCTAGTGTGGATGTTGCTTGTGTTGTAATAATATAGAAACTTATGGAACCAGACTGGGTTGTTCTTTTTTGTTTTAGAAGAAGAAGAAGAAGAATATGTGGTTCATAACATTTCTCTCTTCTAAAAATGTTCTACGCTCACACTTTTCAACACTTTTTTTTTCTTTTTCAAACATAGCACTGTAGGGGCCTATGATATGTTGTATGCAGTCGATGTGAAAAGCAGCGGGGGTGACTATATGCTGCGAGGATGGTTGCTCGACCTGGTGAAGCTAAGGATGATGGCTTGGGCTGGATCTACAGGTAAGGCAGCAATGTTTATGTGGATGCGTGCAGGGGTTGAATGAGGGGGGTTGAGGATTGGAGGTATGGCGGCCATGGAGAAGACAAAGGAAATATGGTGATTGGGGAAGGGGATTCTCACGGTGAGAGGGATAAATCGAGGAAGAAGAAAGCCCACAGAGGATTGAGAGTTGAAGTGCCGAGAGCAAAGCTATCGAAAACACACTGCATTAAATTAAAGCCCAAGTGGTGCGTGCAACCTTAGCTTGTTCAAGGATTTGATGAAGTAACAACCAAAGGTGATATAATATGATTGATAATCTAAAAAGCTGACAAAAAATATTCTTTCCTAATTTTATATTTTTTCACTTCATCATATTACGGCTTTCAATTAATAAATAAGATACTCTATTCACCTTTAAACAAATTTTATAGTATTTTTTATGACATGCATAAATAAACGTTAGCTCATACTCCGTATATTGTTTGTTAACATCAAAACACGAGATAAACCAAGGCTAAGATATGATACTGTTTCTTGAGAACACATTTGCCTAAAATGACATAACAATAGTTACCATTGAATGATACATTATTTAACTGTAAAAAATCAAACTATGGGGGACATGTATTATTATAATTGTTTTTGAAGCAGTTTATTATTGTTATAACTTATATCTATATCCTCAGCAGTCACTCATTCCTGTAAGTGTTATCATCAATGTTTTACTATTTTTCGATGGACGATACACACATTGTAATTAGCATTTTATTCCACAAGTTTCATCTGTGTGCATTTACAGATCATGAATAGAACTACCAGGTCCTGCTATCTATCTTGGGCAAAGGAGAAGCTGATGAGAATCAAAACCATGCCATTATATTTACACGTGGAGTGGGTTTACAAACAATAGGTATGAATCAGGTGTTTCAGTGCTACTGTGGTATCATCATATCACACTAGATTTTTAATTCATTGTCTACCTTTTTTTACCTTAACATGTATTTCAAGGATAACTATACGGAAGAGGCAATGAAAATGAGGAACTTACGTCAATTTTTTATTGTCAGATAAATATTGCAACAATTTCCTGTGTCTTTCATCTGGGTCTATTATATGTCCTTTGTTATCTTATGCAGTGTTTCGTCTCTAAGGCATGTTATCTTAATAGTTTGTGAAGTTTTCTTGTTGTCATGGCATATTCTGATATCAGGTCTTATTGACTTAAGCTCACTAAGACACTCTCATGTTCTTTACTTTACAGGGAAATTAAGTTGCTTTTAATGCCTAAAAATTCAGGGAATACTTGACAATATTCCTTTGGGGTTCAATGGCCCATGTTCCTTCTAGCAAGCAAAGGTTGCTCTGCACCAGAAACTATAATACTTGTTTTGTTACTATATGCTAATTAAGTATGCACATACTGTTATTTGTCATCCCTGGCATCTATTGTTAATTAAGTATGCACAGTTGCACATACTGCTATTGGTTCAACTGGCTAACCTAGTGTCCTTGCCAATGGAGCTTGAACATTTTGTTTATACAGTGGTTTAGTTTTGCATAATAAAAAAATGGACGAAATTGCACTTCACTTGCTTCTCCCATCATAACTTTCGCGTGGTAATTTATCAATGCATCAAGTCTCATGGAAACTTCTTAATTTTTGAAAAGAATAAGGTTGTGCTAGACCTGGCAAAATGGACCTAGAATCAATTACCCGAACCGAATAATCCGAAATCGAAATCGAAATGATTCGAAAAATGAAGATCCGATTTATAACCTAATAACCAAAATGATCCGAATTGAATCAAAGTTGAACTAAATATATCCAAACTAGATTTCAATTTGAAACCATTTGATCTGAAACTGATTAGGATCCGAAACTAATTACATCCGATATCGATAAGACCCAAAATGGGTAATATCTGAAATTGATAAAATCTGAAATTGATTATTTCAAAAACTAATTCTGACAATAAATATATTATATTTATATACATTTGTGAATAATTACATTAATGTGATTTCAAATTTTTACTTTTATTTTGAACTAGTTATATATTTATATTACTTACTCTCTATGTTCATAATGAATTACCATATCTGAACAAAATGTAAAATTTTATAGTTTTTAAATTTCTTTTTTATAAATTGGTATAGAAATAAACAATAAAACTTACATAAAAAATGTAAGTTAAAATTTATACAAATTAGGGCACGGTTAAAAATATTTTTTCACCCCGTCTCATGCAATATTGTGTGGTTGGCCAAATGTTTGCTTTGAATTGCATTTACTTCTAATTGCATTCAATTTAGCTCAATTTCAACATATTTTTACCAAATTATATGTAATTTGATATTCAATCATATTAATTTTATATCAGAACTAAATATACTTTTGTTTCATAATTCGTAATCTAAATTTATAAAAAAGATAAAAATAGATGATATTTAGGACGAAGGGAGTATATAATAATATAAGGTGATGATTGAATGATAAATGCGACATGACAAAAAATGAACGAGTAATTAAATTTTAATTCAAAAATAAAATATAAGTAAATATATCCAAAACAAAAATATACGCGTATCGAAATATATCTGAATTGAAATATATCCGAACTGGAATGTATTTAAAACTTGAAATTGATCAGAACTGATTGATATCTTAATCGAATTTTAACGGCCCAGAAGTGAAGCGAAACCAAAAATGTAAAGAACCAAATTAAATTCAAACAAAATTAAAGCGATCTGAACCAAACTAATTTAACATATATCTAGAAGATATCCGAACCAAATTAATCCAAACTGGAAATGATCTGATTAATGCAATTGCCACCTCTAGGTTGTGTGTATCTTGACATTAGACTCCCTCTCCTACAGAATTGAATTTGTTGTACATTTATTGGCTAATTCGATATGCATTAATAATATAATATAAAAATGATGTTCATTTAAAATCATCATATCTTCCTAGACCCAACTCTCTTGGATGTAAGATTTTAATTTTAATGAGTTCATACTAAAACGATCATAACGCCTGTCCTTCAGATTAAATGAGAGGGAGTAATTTGTTCATAGAAAAATGAGTAGTAATGCCCAAATATGATGAATGCCTTCTTAAAAAAAGTAGAAGAATCGTCCTCAAGTTATTATGTCTCATTGTCCGTGTCAAAAGCTCAAATATCCTTTTGCAAAAATAGGATAGAGACATTCCTATGCTAATATTTCATGCGAAAGTATATCATTTCTTCAAGGTCATATTTTATTCACTTTGTACGCCTATATTTGTTGCTAATATGATAAAATAATATAGTCATATCATCTCTAGTTTTGTAGATCTTTTGATATAATTTTTAAATATATAATTTTTAAACTTCACACTATTTTTCATATAAATAATTTGAAAATAACTCGAGTAAACATCGTAATGCATAATGGGCATTATAAACATTTTTTTAAGATTTCACATCATTTTTCTAAATATTCATTTAAAACTATTTAGAAATTAAATTATTTATAAACTTTTAAATATTTGAAGCTGAATATATGTATAATATAATTTAGAAATTAAACAATTTAGTTTTTTTATTATGAATCAAAAGTAAAAAATGATTGACTATATAAACTTAAAGACTGAAGTTTATCATCGGGTCTACCACTTCACCGTTGATTTATGACTCTAAACAATTTCTGAATTTACAAGTCGCTCTCGACATGGCCATCCAATTCACATCCCGCTTGGCCTCTAGGCTCCTCCGCTCCGCCACCACCTCTAGTACCGCCGCCGCCGCCACTTCTAGTGCCGTCGCAGCCACCAGGTTTCCGAGATCTCTTCTTTTAGTCTCTCTTCTCCAATCCCATTCCCATCTATCTCATGCACTCTCCCATGGCACCCTATTTTTCCGATCCTTATCCACCCTGAGCCGTCCGAGCCGTCCCCATCGCTTAGCCCGGCAATATATCGGCGCTCGGGCCAGGCAGATGCAGACGCGTCGTCTCTGGACTTACGCCCTATCCTTCAGCTGCGTTGCTGGATTTATCATCATCGTTCTCAACCAGTTCCAAGACCAGCTCGTTTTCTACGTGACCCCAACGGATGCGTTAGCAAAGTACACCGCGAACCCCACCAGGTCAAAGTTCAGGCTCGGCGGGCTGGTATTGGAGGGCAGTGTGGGGCAGATTCCTTCATCTCTAGAGATGGAGTTCGTGGTGACCGACTTAATAACTGACATTTTGGTGAGATACGAGGGATCGCTGCCGGATCTTTTCCGGGAGGGTCATTCTGTTGTTGTCGAGGGGTTTATAAAGCCGTACACAGAAGAGATGAAGAAGAAGGATGAGGGGATGCTGAGAGAGAACAAGTCCATGATCACAGAGAAGGCCAGAAGTGGAAACTGCTATTTTGAGGCTTCAGAAGTGCTGGCTAAGCACGATGAGAAGTATATGCCGCAAGAAGTTGCTGCTGCCTTGGAGAAGAATAAGAAAATGCT